CCGTTCTGCCTGCCTGCCTGCCTGCCTTGGTTTCTGGTAGTTTCGGAGCAGCTTCGGCTGAGAAAAAGAGGCGAATAATTATTATTCTCAGCCGAAGCTGCTCCGAAACTACCAGAAACGAAGGCAGGCAGGCAGGCAGGAAGCCACTGAGCCGGAGAGTAGGACAGGCTTTGGTTGCTTCCTCCCTCCCCTTCTTTCATTTGTGTCCTTGATCCCTGATCCCAGCAGCATTCACCAAAGGCGAAGAAATCCGCCATTTATTTTTATTTTTATTTTCTTTGCGGCCCGGTACAAAGTGATCCACGGACCGGGACCGGTCCGCGGCCCGGTGGTTGGGGACCCCTGCCATAGAGAACCTATGGGGCATTGCCAAGAGAAAGATGACAGACATGAGACCGAACAATGCAGAAGAGCTGACGGCTGCGATTGAAGCATCCTGGTCTTCTATAACACCTCAGCAGTGCCACAGGCTGATAGCTTCCATGCCACACTGCATTGAGGCAGTCATTGCTGCAAAAGGGGCCCAAACCAAGTACTGAGTACATATGCATGCTTCTACTTTTCAGAGGTCCGATATTGTTCTATGTACAATCTTTGTTTTATTGATTGCATGTAATATTCTAATTTTTTGAGATTGTGGATTTGGGGTTTTCATGAGTTGTAAGCCATAATCATCTCGATTATAACAAATCCCGGCTTGAACTATCTCGCTTTGCATGTAATGAGTCTATCTCATATATTAGGTTCACCTTTTAAGTTGCATTACTGAAATAAATGAACTTTTGCATGATATTCTAATTTTTTGAGTTTCACCTGTATCTGTTTCTTGGTCTGATCTACCTTTTAGGAGTACTTGTTTTCAGAATTTTTTCTTCCATTATAAACAACCTTCAACTTTTTAGGACCATTGAACAGAATAAATCTTCTTAGGCATGAGTTTTTTCTCCCCTTTCTTCAGTTTATTTTTTTTTCTAAAGCATTTTGTCAGCAACTATAAACATTACTTGACAACCTTTGTATGGTCCTCATTTTGATTATATTAAATTAAATTTGTGATGCCTGAGTTTACTGATAACATACAAAGCAGAGCAAACATTAATTGACTGTAAATCCTGAATATTTTGTAATCTTGTATACAAATTTCTTTCTATAGATGTTTTTTTTGTATTTATACAACTTCCCCATTAACACAGAACTCAGAAGTGTTAATGCAGTAGCATCTGTACAGATGAGTCAGAGGCAATTCTGCAAGAATATGATAGGATGCTGCAAAAAGAAGTCTGCAAAAAGACACCAGCACCTCCAAAATCTCTTGTAACATATTTATGATATGCTTGGCAGCAACAGCGGTAGTGGTGGTTCTCATATTGTCCATGACTGCTTTTGACAAGATGAGAAGCCCGTTTAAATGCTTCACATTTGTGATTGGTTGAAGAACCTAGTGAGAAAATAAAGTAATAAAATCAAAGTCTTTTAGTGGCTAGTAGGGAAGTGAACATAATTTTCAGCATGCAGGAATAGTGTGATTGTTCCCTGAACTCATCTGATTTTGCCAAGAAAAGGAGCTGAAGAGCCTGGGCTTTTTCTGCTATTTTAATTATTATCCATTATAGTCTACTTTTTCTGTTAAAGTCAGTTTGCCTTTTTGTAGCATTTTGCTTTGTTTCCAGTATTACTGACATAAACATGTTTAAGAATTCATAAGGAACCATGTTCAACCAAAGAGATTTTCCTTTATTTAGCTTTCCGTGGATTTCTATACTTTATAATTTCAAATAAGATTGTTCACAGTTCTGGGTCTCTGATTGTAATTGGATCTTGGTTTACTTTTTTTTTTCCTTTAAAGAATGGTAGCTGCTTTTTATATGCTTTTTTAGAATGATATAATTTATTTTGGTGGTGTAAAAAAATTTTTTTTCTTTTTCCAGGCTGGAGCATGGCCTTTGACCCAGGCGCCTTCATCTACATTTGCAATTCCTCAGGAACTGGAAAAAAGTGTACAGATGGTAGGTTAGTAGGAGATTTATTGCAGATTTAACAATTTAAACTCTGTACATCAGCCTTAGAATAAACATTTCTGGAGTTTTGACTGTCATGAAGATGTACTTAATATAGCTTTTGGCTTGATCACAGCAACCTTTACAATTTCAATTATTGGATTACCATTTTACCTTTGTGGTTTTTGCTGAGAATTGTCACAGTTGGTATACATATCTGGAGGTTTATCTGCATTGGGGAAGGTTCTTCACAAAGGTTTATCTGCATTGGGGAAGGTTCTTCACAAAGACATATCCATATGTCTTCTTTAAGATGTAGATGATGCATGGATAAAAATCTGAAATCTAGTCTACATTTCTGACTACCTGTGTGGCCAACCATGTAACAAAGAGAGGAGGAGGAATAAAATTCATAGAAAGAGAAGTTGGTCATTATCAAGTTTGCATCCAATTTTTTCATAAAACTACATCTGCTTTAGGTACAAAAAAAATCCCAGCAAAATAATATAGATAATCAAATGCTGAAAAAATTCTGATAGGGACAATTTTGTGATCTGGTTTTCAAAATGCCAAGCACATAAATGTTGCCCTAAGCCTGCAACACCACTTGATATTCAAAAAATACAGATACCAGAATTTCAGGTTCTAATAAATAGGTGGTAACTAGCTAGAGAATGAAAAGCAGAAGATGGGAAGAGTAGAACTAATATCATATTGGCATCCGTTTCTAGTGTATTTATTTATGTTCCTATAACATATTTCCTTAACATTGTAACTTATGAAGGTAGCTCCTCTCCCAGCTCTTGGGGCTTCTAGCTGCCTTCTTGATTCCGACATTTGTAAAAAAAAACTTAGTTTCTAATCATTACTGTAGAGCAGGGGTGTCAAACTGGCAGCCCTCAAGTCGGATGCGTCACGCACAGGCCACACCCACCCTAGCTCTGCAAATGGGAAAAACATCGTGAAATGTCACGTGACAGCAACGTGACACGGCGAGTTTGACACCCGTGCTGTAGAGGTATACCATATAATCTGGAATGGGTAATATAAACTCTTCATTTAAATATTTTCTGAATCTCCTGGTTTATAATGAGAAATTAATGTAGGGAATTATGAAAAATTAATAAAATGGTACGATTAAATCAAGAGGAATCATGCTTTTGAGGATGCTTAACCAAAACCTTATAATCAGAGCAATATTCTGCAGACTTGTAAAGGAAAAGCAAATTTGTCTCAAATACATTACATGTAACTTTGTAAGATATATTACCCTTTTTTTTTTTTTTGCAGGAATAGTCATTCACCTGATACATACATATAAACTGATAGCTTGAATATGCATAGTGATTAATCTAAAAACTTTATTCAGAACTTACTTCCTGTAAATATCTCCTACAACCAGACACATTCCTAGGAATTGCAATTCAAACACATCGGGATGATACCTGATAATAAAAAGTTGCAAGGAAGTTTAGTAGAGAAATAATTGTTTAAAATCTTGAAGAGGCTGCCAGGGTCCAAAGAATTTTGGCCAAAATTTTTCTTGTGGTCCATTAAATTCCTTACTAAACCAATATGGGATCCAAATGTGGCTGGCATAATGTCAGTGGCATTCAAGACAGCTGTTGGAGAAATGACAGAATGTTTAGCTTTTTGTGTGTGTACTTCTTTGCAGCTAGATAAAATTCTTAATTGACTTCCTTGCACACTTTGCAAATGGAAGGCTAGTTTGATCCTCAAGGAGAACTTTGTGTTTATCAAATTATCTTTGCTTTCTGATTCACTAGAGGAAATTGGCTAATATTATTTGAATTTAGCGAGAATTTGCTTTTTCTTTTTAGTTCATTTCAGCTAGGTCCTGAAGGGGAAAAAGAGCTATGAAAAAGAAAATTTATTCTTTCTTCTTTTAAATCTCATGAGAGCAGTAGGAGAAGACCCAAACCCCATACTAAGTTCTGAGGCTTGGGAATAAAATTTAAATCAGTTAAATTAAGTTAAATGATATTATTATACTTACTTCCACTCTGCATATTAATTTCATTTAGTTGACCATTAACATAAGTAAAAAGTGATAAATGTATCTTAATAAAAATATATTAAAACACCAATTAAGGTGTGTGTACTTGACTTATGGAATTAAATAGGTACTCATATAATAAACATTTTTAATATTTCATCATAACTCATTAATGTGAGATTTATCTTTTTACAATCAGTGTAGCGAGAGATTCAAAATAGGGGGGAAAAGGTGGGGAGAAATACTTTCAATCTTGCAAGATTCTGTTAATGTACAATTTTATTGTAAATGAGTTTTACAATAAAAATAGAGCTAGTTGTGCTTCTTGACTGGGCTATTTGCAGGGCATAAATAAATTAGATTTGGATTTTCAGGTTGGGGAAGAAGAATTAGAATTTTAGACATCCTGGGTAGCTTTGAATAAATCGGTGTTTATCATCTGTGTGAAGATGAATGAATGTACACTGAGAAATAGTAAGAAATCATTGCTATTTCTATTGGTATGATGTGGCATTCAGTTGTGTTTTGCTTTTATCGTCCAATGTTCTGGATTCAGAAGTGGAACTTTTTTTACAATATATAGATGAATATTTTTATTATGTGTAATTCAATTATTCCATCTCTAATCTTAGATAGGCTATCTAAAATGTTTATTTTTAATTAAGCTGATTGTTGTGTTTCAGATATGGTTATTATTTTTAATGTTTTTAAACATAATCTTTTTCTTCTTCTTTTACATATTGTTTTAAATCCCCTGATATATTTAACCAAAATAATTATTTTGTTTTTCAGTTTGAATTATTTTACAGTCAGCATTTCAGTGGAAGGAAACTTACCTGGTTACATTATCTTTGCACAGGTAAAATAAATTTACATTTAGTTTTTGAAAGCATAACTCTAATTTTTTTTTTTTTTTTTTTGCTTAGATGAAATGTATACTGCACGTCTTTTGAAGTTATGATGATGATAATGATAATGAAACTTTAAATGATTTGCTCTGTCTTAGCTAATCTGGTTTTCTTAATATATCTCACTTGGATATTTTTATTACATCTCTTCTAATTGTTATCTGAAAAATCAATTGTTTTAAATTTTGTTTTTTACATTCTCGATTGACAGTTATTTTCAGGAAAAAAAGTTAAAAATAAATGTCATTGGTATGGATTGAAACAAGAAAATTTTATAATAAAAATGGATTTAGGCATGCAGGTAGTCCTTGGTTAATAGCTATTTGTTCAGTGATCAATATAATGATAGTATTGAAGGAATGGTAGAAAGTTTTGGCCCGCCAAGCACCTCCCCAGTTATGTGATCTGAATGCTTGGCAACCAGTCTGTACTTGTACAGCCATCACATGATCACCATTTGTGACCTTCACTATTGGTTTCCCACAAGCAAAATTGAGCTGGTGGGGAAGGTTGCAAAATGGTCTCAGGGATATCATACTCCATAGCACATGCACACACAGCATCTTGGTGCCAAGGCACACTCGTCTTCCCAGTTGCAGCCTTGCTATGCTTATGCTGTAGTGACTCCTGCACATCCTCTCTTACCAGGTAGCAGTCAGTCCCTGGTTCCATTATATTCATGCCACATCGCAGCACCCACTTGTAAGCTTTCCTCTCAAGTTCCTCACTGATTTTTTATTTCTGTGAAGTCAGCAGGAAATAACAAGGATCCTTTCATAATCTTGAAGATCCTTGATTAATAATCACAACAGGGACTTTCTGGATTGCCCCCATTAAGCAGATGCAGTCACGTGATGTTGCACTTTATGATCATATGACTTAGCGACGGGAAAATCTGATGCAATTCTGGTGCTTTGAACAAAGGCCTTCCTGTACTGAAATTCTGAGCTTGAACGAAAATTTCACATGTTTGAGGAAAGGACAAAAGCATCATAGAAAAAAGTCAAACATAAGCAAGTGGTAGCATGTAGTTGATTTTGGCTGATTGAAGGAGGGGGGAAGAAACCCTAGATACAGCTTGACCAAGTTAGGATTTGGATAGAGATCACCAAGGAACCCCAAGATTATAAACTAGACATTTTAAGAGCCATGGTGGCACAGTGGTTAGAATGCAGTATGAAATCTGCTGATTTCCAGTTGCCAGCAGTTCAGCAGTTCGATTTTTGACCAGCTGAAGATTGACTCAGCCTTCCATCCTTCTGAGGTCAATAAAATGAGGACCCAGATTGCTGGGGGCAAAATGCTGATCTTATAAACGGCTTAGAGAGGGCTTTAAAGCACTATGAAGTGGTATTTAAGTCTAAGTGTTATTGCTATTGCTAGACAGGGGAAACTGGAAAAAAATTTCCAATGAAAAAGTATATTGGAGAGAAAAAAAATGAAAGAAGATGGTGGCAAACTACTGCTTTGTTGCCCACACTTTCATAAACCAAAGGATTCCATAAACCAAAGGATACGTGAATATATATTCACATAACCACCAGGAAACTTTGTTCAAGAGAGTGAATTTTTGGAGCACTAGATATAAATGTTATGACAATCAAGGTCTTTACAGTGCTGCTTATGCACAATTTATTCAAATCCTTCCTTGCCTTGTTACAATCAGCTGAATCAAGCATTGTAACTTAATTTTTTTTAATGCTTCTGTATTTTTCAAAGTACAGGTAGTCCTCAACTTACAACTGTTCATTTAATGACCATTCAAAGTTACAATGGTACTGAGAAGAGGTGACTTATGGCTATTTTTCATACTTAAGACAGTTACAGCATCCCTACAGTCACATGATCAAAATTCAGATGCTCGGCAACTGATTCATATTTATGATGGGTACAGTGTCCCTGTGATCTCGGTTTGCAAACTCCTGACAAGCAAAGTCAGTTAGAAAGCCAGATTTGCTTAACAACTGTGTTACTAACTTACCAGCTGCAGGGATTCACTTAACAACTTTGGAAAAAAAGGTCGTAAAATGGGGCAAATCTGTCTTAACAATTGTCTTGCTTAGCAGCATAAACGTGGGGCTCAGTTGTGGTTGTAAGGACTACCTATAGTAATCTCTTTTAAAAATCTAATTTCTCTTCAGGACAGTCTTGCAAATTCAGTTCTTGTTTTGCTGTACCCTTGGATCAAATATCGCTTTCTTCCTGCCGCCAAATTGGAAGAACAAAGTGAGGCTTTGTTAATAATACTTGAGGCTTTTATTCAGTGAATTCATCAGCTTTATCCTTAATTTGCAGGTGAGGTCAAAATGAATTATTTGTCCAAGCCCTATGTAGCCATGGTTACCACCTACCAAATGGCAGTGCTGCTGGCCTTTAACAATAGTGAAATCGTCAGTTACAAAGAGCTCCAGGATAGCACACAAATGAATGAGAAGGAACTGACCAAAACTATCAAATCCTTACTTGATGTCAAAATGATCAACCATGACTCAGATAAGGTAAGTTACCAAAAAAATGACACATTTGAGAGTGGGGGCATTTTTCTATTATATGTTTTGAAAAAATAGGAATAATAGATGGTACAAATAAGAAAAACAGGGACAGATAGAGAAATACAGAGAGATTATGAACAAAACTAAATTATTATGAAGCAAATATATTCTATATATAACTATAGAGAGGATAAAATGAAAATGTATTTATAATTGCTGTAAAAAACATCAGAAATCATTACTTTGTATCTTTTTTCTTTTCTGACCTTTTTTCTTTTATTATTCACATTACTTTTCTTTATTTATCTTTAAATTTATTAGATTTTCCTCTGAGAAAAACCTCTTTAATGAAAATTAGTAAATTAAAAAAGCTTATAATATTGTAAGATACTTCATAGCCTAACAGCGCGCAAATCATATAATTATAAACCAAGAATACCAATAAGACATTTAGAGTAAGTGCGCTTGAGATTGTGATTTTATTTTATTTCAAAAAGATTGGCTTAATTCAGTGTAATACTTGTTTTACAGCTGTCTTTCACAGTACTCTTTTCAAACTTGGATACTGTCCCCTTTGTAAAAAAAAAATACCAGTCTACATGGACAGATTACCTATCTAGAATCTCTAATCTGTGCTCTCCAAGCAGAAATTAGGTGCCCAATCCAGCCATCTATTGAGCTGCCGTGCTACCAGCCCCCACTACCACAAAGATCCTACAGGAAAAGGGCACTATGGACAACCGTGGGATCTGGCAGGGTGAGAGCTGTGGACTATAAACACAAAACTTTTGCTATGTCCCAGCATAACAGATACAGTGCCCTTGCTGACCTTAACAGGGACACTAAAGTGACAGGTCAAGGTAGTTGTGATAATGATAACTTAAGTAAGCTGGGGATCATTGTCCTAGAAGAAGAACTTACTTTGGAAAGGAGAAAGTGTGAATCAGGTATTACACACCAGCCACACAAGAAGAACAAGGCATCAAAAAAGAGAAGCCACCTTCTGGTTGGGGACTCAATTGTAAGGGATGTACATTTAGGAAAGAATACTGAAGTTTTGAAAGAGGTCAGGTGTCTACCAGGTGCTACTGCCAGCAGAGACAAGAAGCGTATTCTTAAGATAGTCAAGAATGCCAGCAAGGGCTGTGATGTTGATGCTATTATTACATCTTGGTACAAAAGATCTGTCCCAGAAGGGTGTACTTTCTGTTCAGAAAGACTTCCAGAGCTTGGGGTATGAACTTAGTAATATGGGCTGTAGGTTTATCTTTTCAGAGGTTCTACCAGTATACAAGGAACAAAAAGGGAAAGGGCAGCGTGTAGCAGAGTTTAATGTGTGGCTAAAGGAGTGGTGTAAAAGGGAAGGCTTTGGTTTTATTAGTCATGATGTCTGCAGCTAGTCCAATGAAAAACTGTACAAAAGAGATGGTTTGCATCCATCAAAGAAAGGGACTGAGTTACTTGGCATTAAATTCACAGATTTCCTGGATAAACATTTAAACTGAAAGGCGGGGACAGAGAATTAATGGATTCAGAACATCTCTGTCCCCAGCAACCTAAAACTAATAAGGATACCAGTGCGTGCAAAATAGATGTTTGTGCAGGTAAGATTATCAACCTTGATGCCAACCAAAACCAAGGATTTAATAGTGAGTGCCATACTATGTGCACTAATCAAACAGGTGGCAAGAAGGGACAAGTAGGGACAGGAAGGCACAAAACAGGTTATGTAGACAGGAAACACAGTGTCAGACATAAAGATCTCAAGTGTCTATATACAAATGCACAAAGTCTGGGGAACAAGCAGGGTGAACTCGAACTACGAATACATGAAGGTAAATATTATATAGTTGGAATAACAGAAACTTGGTGGGATGAAACCCATGACTGGAACATACTGGTAGAAGGTTACAAACTATTCAAAAAAACCAGACCCCATAAAAGAGGAGGTGGAGTTGCACTATATGTAAAGGACCACTATATTGCTACAGAAATGCATGAAACCAAAGATGAAAACCTCCTAGGTATGTGGGTCAATATAAAAGAAAAAAGGAATGACATAGGTGTATATTATAGGCCACCCAATCAAGCAGAAAAAATAGATGTCCTTTTTGCCAGCCAACGAACAAACATGCAGGAAACACACAACAATAGTAATGGGAGACTTCAATTATCCTGATATCAATTGGAAAACTAATTCTGCACCAAGTGAGAAATCAAATAAGTTCCTAACCAACCTAGCTGACAACTTTGTTGTCCAAAAGGTAGAGGGTGAAACTAGAGGGACAGCCATACTGGACTTAATTCTTACAAACAGAGAAGAAGTGATAGAGGGAGTTGAAACTGCAGGAACCTTGGGTGAGAGTGACCATGTCATACTAGAATTCAACATAACACAAATACAAGCAACAGAACATAATGACACCAGAGTCTTGGATTTTAAAAGAGCTGATTTCAATAAACTCAGAGAGAACTTGGGAAAGATTCCATGGATGAAAATCCTAAAGGGGAAAACAACTCAAGAATCTTGGGAAACTCTAAAAAGTATGATCATACTTTTTAGTGGTATTGTGCCCAGACCAGCACAATACCACTGAGAAAGAAAAACAAGAAATCCAAGAAGAAACCAGCATGGCTACACAAAGTTCTCTCTGGCAAATTGAAAGGAAAAAAGGACAAGTACATAAAATGGAAAGAAGGACATACAACTAAGGCAGAATATCAGCAGATAGCCAGAATCTGCAAAGACGAAGTCAGGATAGCAAAGGCTCAGAACGAACAAAGACTTGCAAAAAAAGTCAAAGATTATAAAAAAAAGTTTCTTCCAACATATAAATAACAAGAAAAAAAAAAAATCAAGGAAACAGTCGGTCCACTAAAGAGAGAAGATGGCAAGGAAGTAACAGGCAACAGAGAGAAAGCAGAACTGCTTAACTCATTCCTTGCATCTGTCTTCACGCAAAAAGAAACTATAGCTCAACCCACCAAAAACATAACTGTAAAAGACAGACCAGAAATAAAAGTTAAAATAAGCAAAAGAATAGTAAGAGAATACCTGTCTGATCTTGATGAAAATAAATCACCAGGCCTGATGGATTACATCCCAGAGTTTTAAAAGAGCTGGCAGAGGTCATCTTACAACCACTGCAACATATCTTTCAAAAATCCTGGAGCACCGGGGAACTACCAGAGGACTGGAAAAGAGCTGATGTGGTTCCCATCTTCAAAAAAGGGGAAAAAAACAGACCCAGGAAACTATAGACCAATCAGCCTAACATCAATACCTGGGAAGATACTGGAAAAGATAATAAAAAAACAGATCTGCCAACATCTAGAAACAAGTAAAGTAATAACTAGCAGTCAGCATGGGTTTGTTAAAAACAGATCATGCCAAATCAATCTTATTTCATTCTTCAACACAGTGACTAAATTAGTAGACCAGCAAAATACTGTGGACATAATATATTTAGATTTTAGCAAGGCATTCGATAAAGTAGACCACAACCTACTTCTTAGTAAGCTAGATAAAAGTGGAATAGATAGCACCACCACTAGATGGACTTGCAACTGGCTGGCAAACCGTACTCAACGAGTAGGGTCTAGGTCTACATGGAAGGAAGTAAGCAATGGGGTGCCACAAGGTTCCGTCTTAGGCCCAGTACTCTTCAATATCTTCATTAACGACTTAGAAGAGGGAATAGAAGGGGAACTTACCAAATTTGCAAATGATACTAAGCTGGCAGGAACAGCTAACACCCAAGAAGATAGGCTCAAGATCCAGATGGATCTTGACGGACTAGAACACTGGGCCATATCTAACAAAATGGAATTCAGTGTAGAGAAAAGTAAAGTCCTACACTTAGGCAAGAAAAACCAAAAGTACACATATAGACTGGGTGAAACCAGGCTCAATAGCAGTAACTGTGAGAGGGATCTTGGAGTCTTAGTGGACAATCAGCTAAATATGAGCCAGCAGTGTGCAGCAGCCGCCAAAAAATCTAATGCAATCCTAAGTTGTATTAACAGAGGGATACAATCAAGATCAAGGGAAGTACTAATACCACTCTATAAAGCCTTAGTAAGACCACACCTAGAGTACTGCATCCAGTTTTGGTCACCAAATTATAAAAAAGATGTTGAGACTCTAGAAAAAGTACAGAGAAGAGCAACCAGGATGATTAGGGGACTGGAGGCTAAAACATACAACGAACGGTTGCAGGAACTGGGCTTGGCTAGTCTAGTAAAGAGAAGGACCAGGGGAGACATGATAGCAGTCTTCCAATACTTGAGGGGCTGCCACAGGGAGAAAGGGGTCAAGCTATTTTCTAAAGCGCCTGTAGGCCAGACAAGGAATAATGGATGGAAACTGAACAAGGAGAGATTTAACCTGGAAATAAGGAGAAACTTTCTGACAGTGAGAACAATCAACCAATGGAACAGCTTGCCCTCAGAAGTTGTGGGAGCGCCATCAGTTGAGACTTTCAAGAAGAGATTGGACTGCCATTTGTCAGAAATGGTGTAGGGTCTTCCACTTGGACGGGGGGTTGGACTAGATGACCTACAAGGTCCCTTCCAACTCTGATTATCTGTATCTGTATCATTTTCTGATCAAAAATTTGCATGTCCCCCTATTTAAGTTAAAAACACTTGTTGTTCAGTTCAGTTCAAAAAAGACTATAGATAGTAAAGCATTAATGTAAATCATACGTTTACATTAAATTAAGATGGAAAGTTTAAAATTTTGGAGAGAGCATGATTCTGTGGATAAGACCAAGAATGGTTTAAAGCAGGGCTATCAAACCTGCGGCCCACACTGTCCACGCCCATGCCCAGTTTAGTAAAGGGGGGGGAAGTCACAATACCTCACGTGATGACGCCGTGATGATGCAAGTTTGATACCCCTGGTTTAAAATTAAAATTGTATTCTATATTGAATTTACTTTTTAAATACAAAGGTCTCCTAACCAAGGGTCCCCAACCCCATTCCACAGACCAGACTGGACCATGGCATGTCAGAAACCAGGCCGTGCAAACAGTCCCCATCCACAGGGTTCAGGCAGCATGCGAAACCACATCCCCTCCAGGGCACAGGAAAGCCTCAATCCAGGGAACTGGTCCCTAGTGCCCAAAAGGTTGGGGGCCGCTGCTCTGGACATCAAAGCAATTTAGTTAGCCATTTTACTAAAAGCAGGTGTGGTTTTTTGGTCAAGATGTATATAAGATGTTTTTGATAGGATTGAATTGTTGCTTCTTGTCACTCTTGCCCCCCCAACCTGTACATAAAAATAAGTTGTAGATTTGAAATACTTGTTTATACATAACTGCTTAAAAAGTGTTATTAATGTACCTATCATTTTCCATCTTCATTTCTGTAAACCACCCAAATGCTTTTTCAGCTTCTTGAACATAGTCCTGATGTACTTGGCAAAGGACTTGAAATTCACAGATCCTTGAAGATTTATTTTAAATACAACTTGATGTTCATAAAAGAAAGAGAAAGGGAGGGGCAACCTCTAAGAATCCCATTGGTCATACTTTAGAATTGCAGTTCTCTATGTATTAATTCATGGATTCTTGAAAAGGACTTCAGAAGTCACTACAGATACATATACTTTAAGGGCTTGCCTGCCTGTTCTGCTGTAGCACAGAGAGGGCCCAAGACCTCAGTGAAACCATGAGATAACAAGTGTAAATTAGCTGATAGGGAAAAATTACCATTGTGTCATTCATAAGTTGATTGGTATACTAAATTGTTTGTTATTGGCTTAACATCCTGTATGCATCCTTTCACATGGCATGTAAATTAGCATGACATATCATATGAGCTCACCTAGTTGCAAATTACTCTAGAAATTGTGCCCATGTGATGACAAGGACATTGAAACTGTGTCACACTATATCGTATCCCTAACTCCCTGGGAGGCCGTATAAATTTTACAGGAACCTTCTTCAGGATTTAAAACCATTCATTATAAGTGCCATAGCTCAATTTTGTATTCTACATGAAAGCAAAACATAAGAAGTCAAATAATATTTATCTTTTGTTTTGATATACTACTTGATTTGATACATCTTAACAATTCATTATAGGGAATATTTTTATTTCATACCTATTAATCCTTTGGATCTATCACCAGGGTAAAAATTGAATTAATGTAACATTTGAGGAGTTAATGTTATATTCCCTTATTTACGTTGCTATTCTTAGTCTGTTATTATATTTATTTGTTTCACTCTGTTTTTGTTTGTTTTGTTCTTTTAAATTTTTCTGATCATTAACTGAATACATATTATTCATTGATGTACTACAAATTATGGTGCAAATGCAGTCATAGAACCAATTGAAATGTATCTTTTGTCACTGTAATTTAAACCTACACTTAGTTATTTCTATCCAATAGATATGAAAGGAAGTTATCTCTAAAGAGTTGTTGTTTTGTTAAAGACCTCTTAACTATAAAATATTATGTTTATTGCCAAAATATATTTTCCAAAAAGATCACATTTACTACATGTTAATCCTACTAACATGAATGTTTTTGTTTCTTTTATTGAAAGAATTATATTGGATTGAGTTTTGAAAACATATGTATTACCTTCATTATTTTGGGCATGCAAGATGCTCTGTAGAGAATTGAAGTAGTTCAGACTTGCCAAATTGAATAAGTTGCAATATTTTTACATTTCACCAGTGGAGATGTAATCCATATGCAAGCACAGATTTTCAGAGCAAGATGTTCTTCCTAAACCGACAAGTTGTTGAAATGTTTGGCATCATTTATCTATGTGTGAAAGGAGCAAAAACACACTCTTTTTTTCTTGCAGGAGGATATAGAGGCAGAGTCCACTTTTTCATTAAATATGAATTTTAGCAGTAAACGAACGAAATTTAAAATCACTACTTCAATGCAGAAAGACACCCCCCAGGCAAGTATTGGTAATGTCAATAACAACATATAGCGTATTCCATGAGGAAATCTAATACTGAATAACAATTCTTTTAAGTCAAGCTCACTTCTGGAGTTTCTGTACAGCTTTCTTGGCATTCTTTTCTTCCAAAAATAATTCATGGGCTTCCAAGGCTAGTCTATATTAAAATCCTTCCTTATCCCAGTACTAACCAGTTCTGACATTGTTTAGCAGCTGAGCCCAGACAACAGATTTAGGGTTGACACTTATTGAAACATAAAATTGAAACTTGAAAACAGCTGGAGACTTTGTAAAATGAACTATGTGTAAGCATACTTTTTGACATTCCTCTTTCTAGTTGAATTGTCTCAACTATGGGTTGGATCCCCAGTTAATAATATGTAGAGGAAGCCCATTGACATCGTGATTAACAAATTCTATTACTTTTAGCAGGTCTTCTTTAAAACTACATCAAACATTCACTAATAATATCAGAAATAAATAATTAAAAAGCAGCTTGTTTAACACTTCTTATCTAACCAGCTTTTCTAATTTTTAAATTTCGGAAGGTTTGGGGCAATTGAAGGCAAATTCAGACATATTTTTTTTTAGTAATTCAACAATTCAGTACAGTTTAAATAATAAAACTCTACATGAGAAGGAAAATATATTTTAGAGGGAAGAATCAGAAATATTTCTAAATGTGTGTCTTTTCAAAATTAACAGCCATAGAAAGCAAACATGAAAAATAGCATATTCTGTTTTCTGATTTATTGCTGCTTGGTTCTTTTTCATTTCATCTGGTGAAAACTACCTATTCTCTACTCTTTGACATAACTTGGAATCTTTTTTGGAAATGCAACCCCCATGCATTTTTAGTGCAAGGTAAGATCCATTTACCACTTCCCAGACACCGCAAGGAACCGGAATTGTTTATTGCTTATAAGTAAGCAACAAGGTGGTTTCTGCTACCTGTGGATGTTGCTAGTAAATTTAGACAGCTTTATCTGTTTATTTTATATTTATTTCATCCTTTACAATACTAGCCTATATGATCAGTGCCCATATGTTCAGTGGTATTTATTCCCCAATAAGATTATGACATTAGTTCTTAATTTATTTTCTTTACTGTCTGTTTTTGTTCAAAACATTTTCCCATAGACACTTATTTTGTGTTTTATTTATTTGTTTACTTATGATTTGGGTATATTCTAAATTAGTAACACTATTCAAGAGCATTGTGTACATTAATACATTAAAGTAATATTAATTACATTGTCAACATTATTACATTAATAAATATAATAATTCACACCAGATATTTGTAACCCAGCATTACCAATAATTATTTCACTGCCACTATCTAAAATTAATTTTATTAGCAAATACCCTCTTTTGGAAATGATAGCCAAAATGACATTGCCGCTATAATATGTTTATCTTCAAATAGTTTTATTTTCTGTTCAAAGAACATTTTTGTCATATTGAAAATACTTTCTGAATTTTATCTTTTACATTAATTTGTTTTAACTGATTTCAGATGTAATTATTGTGACATTTGTTGTATAGTAAAATGCTTTTCCTGGAACCCATTATTAATGGAGGTTGGCTGAGAATTTCTTCTTCAGAGGATCGCTTGAGGTCTCATTGGTTCTGTACAGCTAACTGTCCTAATTACTTCAGCATGTTAATAATGACTGCAGCCTCAAAAGTATAAAATAAACTTGGAATATAATTCCCTTCACCCATATGTTTTAGGAAATATCTAGAGCAGCTAAGAATTAACGTGTCTTGAACTTCAATTTCATAACAAGTTTCACAAGTATTGTATTTATTACTCCACTGATCCGATAAGAGTCTTTGGCAAAGAAGTGCTAAATGTACTTATTAGGTGGTAAGCTTCTCTAAGATGGTTGAAATTACTCCTTGTGTTAAGGTGTCTGACCACGTTTTCCCAAAAGTATTTTCTGTTTTTCAATGCACATGGAAAAAAACAAATTTTTATTTGGTTCCTTAAATTCAGCAGTTTATACAGCACTATACTTCACATTCTGAAAAGGTATTCTTATTGATTTCATTTCAGATTTTATAATCTGATAGTCAGATTTAAAGAACAGTAAAATAAGTGTCCTTGTTTAAGATCTTAAAATTATCAATTCTTTTTCATCTTCAATGATAGTTCCATAATATTCATAATTTTATTGTGTCTGGAGTCTTTCTGGTTCTGATTAAAAGTTGAGTTGAACTGAATCTGGCTAGTGATTAATTTAGTTCAGCATTCCCCTTTCCACCCTCTTCTGAAAATCCCAGGAAACCCAGAAGCTAAACACAAAATAATAATTCTCTGTTGTAGTTGCATCCAGCAGCTTGGTAATTCAGTGGCATGTTTCCTTTGAGCTTAAGGTTTATACAGAGCTGCAGCAAAAGTATTTGAAGACTCTGTGGTGACTTCATTTTATCCCAGAGGGGAAAGAAGAATTCTTAGTGCTGTATCTCTATATAGTACATTACTTGGATTTCTATCACAGGATTTAGGAATATTCGGTGAATCCAGAATTTGTAAGAACATTAGGCATAGTTTGTTTGAAGCTCTGGATTATAATAATAAGTAAGAGGTTTACTTAAAGTCTACATCATATTGCCTGGAATTGAGTACCATTGGAAGCTAAATTGCAATGTAACTGGTATGTTGTGCCAATGAGATTATTTTTTTAAAAAGTTGTTTTACAGGATCAAACCAAATATGGCCTATTCAGATCTATTTTTAGCTGTCAACTCCTTTAAACCAGTGCTTATCAAACAAGGCAAAATTTAAGATGAGTCAATTTCCCCATGCTGCCTGGAGAATTCTGGGAATTAAAGTCCACCAATCTTAAAGTTGCCAACTTTGGAAAACATTGGTTAAAAGAAGCTAAAGCAAAGGTTCCCCGTGTTCCCTCATTCATGTTTCCTTTAGTTTCTAAGAATGCTAGAGGATTAGTTCTTCCATATAGTTTATTAAGAAAAGGCTCGTTTTCATCCAGATTACAAAAGACTACACCATTTGAATAAGCCTGGCTCTGCAGGGGATCACAGCTCCTAACCCACTGAATTATACGGTCTTGTATTGCAGGAAATGGAGCAAACAAGGAGTGCTGTAGATGAAGATAGAAAAATGTACCTTCAAGCTGCAATTGTCCGCATCATGAAAGCACGAAAGTTGTTGCGACACAATGCTCTCATTCAGGAGGTAAGATTATGTGCCACTTGGCAAGTAGAAATCTTGTTAAATAGGGTGGTTAGCTGGGCCAATTGAAATAAGGTGATTACAGATAAAGATTAACAGAATTGGAAGGAACCTTGTAGGTCATCTAGTCCAAACCCCCCCCCCCCCCACACACACACACACAAGCGGGAGACCCTATACCATTTCTGACAGATGGGAGTCCAATCTCTTGAAAGCAACAAGTGATGAAGCTCCCACAACTTCTGAGGGCAAGCTGTTCCATTGGTTGATTGCTCTCACTGTCAGAAAGTTTCTCCTTATTTCCAGGTTGAATCTCTCCTTGTTCAGTTTCCATCCATTATTCCTTGTCTGGCCTACAGGCGCTTTAGAAAATAGCTTGACCCCTTCCTCTCTGTGGCAGCTCCTCAAATATTGGAAGACCTCTATACGGTGCCCCCTGGTCCTTCTCTTCACTAGACTAGCCAAGCCCAGTTCCTGCAACCGTTCGTTGTATGTTTTAGCCTCCAGTCCCCTAATCATCTTGATTGCTCTTGGTTGTCCTGTGCAAGTTGAAGGAAGGTGTGTGCCATGTACATGCTTGAATCCTGGCTTTAGAATACAGATAGTCCTCAACTTACGATTGTAATGAAATCTGGAATTTTCTATTGTAAGTCATTAGTCAAGACACTCATGAGCAGACTCGATTTTACAACTTTTTTCTGGCTCTCAATAAGCGAACGCAGCCTTTGAAACAGCCCTCATTTCCTGCTTTTTTAACTGCAGCTGTGCCTCGTTCGGCAGCTGAAGTTGAAAAATCAGGAAATAAAGATCAGGTAAGAGCCCGGGTGGGTGGCTGGGCAAAAACATCAGCAGATATAGAACCGGTTCTACAGAGGTGGACAGAACTGGTAGAAACCCACCCCTGTACACACACACACACACACACACACACACACACACACACACACACACGGCTTGGTTTTGAAGTTTCCCCTCCCCTATCTCCTTTCATTAGGCAGCATTTACATCAGGTTTTCTTTCTTTCTTCTCTCCTTTGCACAGGTAATTAGCCAATCAAGAGCTAGGTTTAACCCAAGTATCAGCATGATTAAGAAGTGTATTGAAGTTCTGATAGACAAACAGTACATTGAACGGAGCCAGGCCTCGGCAGATGAGTACAGCTATGTAGCATGAGTTTAATATTCCGCAGATACGGCTGGCTGTAAGGAGATCGTTTCTGTCTCTGCTTGGTGTGTTCTGTGGGAAAAAAGCAGGTCTGTAGTGCCTCCATAATTGGTCACTTGGCAGCGCCTGTTTTTTCTGCTGTTTACAACATCACCAGTGCCACGTCATGAGCGTCAGTGAAGAAAAAAGCCTATAGATATCCCAAGCTCATGTCATTATGACATTTCTTAAAACTTTATTAAAAGAGAATGAGTGAAGTCTTGCTGAAATGTGGAAATTTTGGTTGGATACCATTCTTCCCCTTCCACCTCTCCATCCTCCCACGTTTGCAGTTGATGTTTTTTTAATGTATCTTAAAACACAAACTTAAAACAGGCTAAATATTGTAATATGGCAGATAATATAATAATTGTATCTACACTGAAATGTAAAAAAGACAACGCAATACTGCTGCTTATCAAATAAATAAAAAATGGAATATGTTGTGCAACTTGTTTTAATTTATAAATTGAACAGTATTTTTCATTGTTAGGCATCCTTATAGCTCATTTCTGGGCATTTTACTGTTTGATCAGCAGGATTTAGCGCCTATGTAAGTGTGCCCTTGCTTTGTAAAACCAATTATTATATTTCCAAGTTACTCTGTTTAGAAGCCAGCTTAGAAAAGGGATAATTCTGATTGGCTGGTTACTTTTATGCTGATTTTATCTATGAAATAATAGATCATGCAGATGTTACCTCACTGTGATTGGATTTTCTTTAGAAGGCAAGAATAAGTTTTAAAACCCTTTCCTACCAACATAGGAAGAGAAAAACGAAAGGCTACTTTATTATGTCAGTTTTAATTTATATGATGGCATATTTGACAAGTCAAATTGTGAAGAAAAGTTATTATGAACCAGGTTGCCTAAACTCACGGTAGGAAAAGGTTCCACTTCACTCTAAGATTTCAATTAAATTTTTAACAATAAATAAATGCTTGGTTTTGTTGCATTAAAATAATGTTGAGTAACATTCTGGTCTATAAGAAGTCCCTGCTGATTCCAAAACCCAGCCTTTTCTTTTCCTTCCTTTAGACAAAATTTCTATATAATAGTTTTGTCAATGAACATTTTCCCCATCTGTGTAGAAAAAATAGTTTTAAATTAAAGTTCTTCACAACATCTGGGAAGAAATAGATTAAAAGTAAACATGTTGCTTATTTATTTATTTATTTATATTCATATCCCACTTTTATTATTTTTACCTATCCCACTTTTATGTGACTCCAGGCAGATTAAAATAAAAACACAAAATGGACTTAAAAATAAAAATAGATAGCCGCAGGGTACAATCTGATCTATAAGCCATACAATCAAGTGGCAAGCTCTCATCCACACCCATGCCCTAGGCGTCAGCATAACGCTGGATTTCCAAGGCCTGATTTTAGGAGGAGTGATTTTTCACAGGCTGAGTGATACCCAGAAAATACTTTTTTTTTTTTTTGAGACCCACCTGTCGACATTTCCTAGCTGAAAATATCTGGAAGCATATCCTTCCTGCCATATGGGATAGGATGAGTAGAAACAATTGTGGAGTGAAGTAAATAATTCAGTCCTAAGCCAAAAAGAGTTGAATAGCACCCAGAAGCACATCAGAAGTTAATGCAGCTCACAGAACATTTGTGTCATGTGTTGAGTAATAAGTACCAGGAACTGCCTGCATTATTACATTTTGTACCAGTTGGAGTTTCCACTCTTCAAGGGCAACCTCATTTAAAGGTCATTGCAATAGTCCAATCTGAAAGTCACAAGGGCATAAGAGATAGTGAGGAGGGCCTTCCAAGTCCAGGAATGAGTGCAACTAAGCTGTGCAAAAACCTTTCTAGCTATGGTTGCTACCTGCTCTTTCAGTAGGCGCTGTGAATCTAGGATTGCCAGTTTTCACACTAAATGTCTGAGCAAGTGTGTCCCAATCCAGATTCAAAATAGACGGCTGGAATCTTAATCTTGCTTGGATTGAGCTGAATCTGTTGCATCCCATCCAGGCCTCCACAGCCTCTGGGCACGGAGACAAAACCTAAGCATCACTCAGACAGCATGGCGATGGAGATTTATAACCTGGCATCATGTTGAGGACACCACAAACTATTGGAATACCTCACCCAGCAGCTTCATGTAGACATAGGATAGGAAAGAGAACATGGAGTCCTGAGGCACCACAAAAGCAAGGGACCACCAGCTGGATCTCTCTCCATTCGTTATGAACATTAAGTGAAACTTATTCTGAAGGAAGGAGGAGAGCCAGGAGAAAACTCTGCTGGCCATTCCCAACTTCCAGAACAAGTCCAGAAGGATTTCATGATCACAGTATTGAAAGGCACTGCGAGGTCATGAACAAGGATGGACATACCACCTCTATCCTGCTCCCACCACAGGTATCCAAGAATGCATTCAATGCCTTAGTCCATACCTGGTTTTGATCATGTAGCTATGTTGTATCTTGCGGGGTTCTTTTTCTCTGAGCTTGGTTGTCTTGCAGATGTTTCATTACCCATTGAAGTATCATCTTCGGTGAACTGATGATATTACCTAATTGGATAATGAAAGAAAATGGCAAAAAAAAAAAAAAAAAACCAATCAAGCTCAGAGGGCAACAAGAACCCCATAGTTCAACCCTAAGCTACAAATATTCTTTTCTATGTACCTTATTTTGAAATGTCCATATAAAAACCTGTTCCATGATTTTTTTGGAAAACAGTGTTTGTAGCTTCTATCATACACTGCTAAGCTTTAGTGTTGGAGCTTTTAATTATATTTTTTGTTGTAAAGAGTAATTACTGCATGAATGCCTTCTAGGAAATGTAACCTGTAAATATGAAAACTGACGAAATTCCCTTCCTGTTCCTCAGAAAAAGAACCTGTAAAAGAGGCTGAGCTGAGACAGTATGGGCTGACCCAAAATGAACTCTATGGTCCAGGGTGACTTATACTTGTGATCTCCAGTGCTAGTCCAATGCCTTAATTGCTAGAATACTGTGCACAGTTTCATTTATCGTGAAGGTTTCATGATCCAGTTGGATTTCTCTATTGTGGCACATAAAGAGGGTCTTATCTGTGGATAAGAAGTGCACTTTTATATCTTGACAGCATCCAAGAAATCTTGCATAATTACAAAAGACAAGTATTAGCTGTTCCTTTTTATTTAAAAAAAGCATTATTTTTCTCTCTAATAGGATTCATTCTCTTATCTTCCTTACTGTGATTTATATTTACTTCTAATGTAATATACTGTCAGAACCATCAGCCTGGAGACAGATTAGTTAACATGTGCTGCTGTTAACTCTTTTGGGAAAAATGGATTGTGTGCCAACTTATCTGAGCTATTGCTGGTATTCATATGATGTAATGGACAAGGTGCTGATGAACTTGGACCAGGGCAAATGCAGTCAAATCTGGATTTCATAGGTGGGTGCAGTCCAGGCACTATTAACGTAGCCTGCTTTCTTCTCAGAGATTGTTACTTTCCATCTTTATAAAGGCACCCTCTACTTTATGTACTATTATGAAGAAAACCAACTTATGATCTCAATTGGAATTGGGGGAAAAATATCGTTAAGTTGTATAGCTATTACGTGGGACATCATGTGACCATACCTGATTTTATGACCTTTTGCCACAATTGTTCAGCGAATCACTGCAGTCATGAAGCAAGGAATCATGTAATTGTGCGATTTGCAACATTTCCTGCTGGCTTCCCCATTGACGACTTGTTGGAAGCTGACAAATGGTGATTGCATGATTCTGAGCCACTGTAACGATCATAATTGTGAACCAGTTGCCAAGCACAATCATGTAAGT